GGTATAGAGGAGGCAAAGCGGAGAACTTGCGATGTTTTATAATATGCATATATTCCATGAATGCCAAGTTTTCGAAATATAGATTTAAAGATGATCCTGTCAACAAAAGATTTAGGCATATTTTATAATTCTGAAATATTTAACAAATATTACTTGTTTTAAATGAATGGGTTGTGCAGATACCTTACTACCTGTCTTCTGAGAAAGAAAAATTATTTTCCATTGTGTCTGTTTTTCTTTTTGAGTATGTCATTTTTGTCAGATATAAAATGTCATATTATATTTAAAAATTTTTAACTCATAAGTGACTATATTAAAATATAAGTGACTATATTTTAATAAGATATTTTAAATGAAATTGCTAAAGAATATGCATTAAATAAGTCTTCATACAATCATGTATTGAAACAGACTTTTTTATATAAATTCTTTTCTATATGTTGTACCATAAAATAGATAAAATATAGGTACTATCTATATTATCAGAATAACAAAGATTTAAGGTTATTTTCTTATTTACAATAGCTTCGGAGGGTTTATACTGAATTTTTTCTCGCTGTTTTGGCTTCTTTTGCATGTTTCTGTAGAGGAAATTTATTCATCGCTACATTCAGCAAGTGTTGCAATGACTCTATGTGCCAGGCACTCTTCTAGGTGCAGACAGAAATCCCTGCCCTCTTGGAGCTTACATTCTTGTTGCAATAGTACTGAAATAGGAGTCAGAGATGTAAAATTAAGCAACCAACCTTACCAGTAGACACATAACAGCATTATCAGTAGACACATAACTTACTCTAAAATGGAGATAATATGTTTGTCCAAGTTTAAAGGAGACTTATGAGGAACAAATGAGATAATTATTTAAAACTGACTTTTACACTGTCAAAGTTGAAATTTCTGTAATAGTAATAGTTACTGAAATTCAGTCTTTTGTACTAAGATTAATGACAGGGACTAAATATGGAGCAGCAGCTATTTCTAAAATACCTTGTAGTGTATACACCTGAGTGATTTATTCAGCAGCTTAGTTACTGTTAGGTTGAATTTAGCCCATTAATCCTTTAGATCTTTACCTAAAGTTATTTTTTGTTTAGTTTTGTCAGAGATAAACTGAGAAGAAATTTTGCATCAGTAGATTTTACTTTGTAAATTTTTTTCACATAATCGTTTTCCGTCCTTGTGAACACTAGCCACATTTTTCTGATCTTCAAAGGAGTAATAGAAGTTCCTTAACACAAGGGACTATAAATTTCTGAATTAAATGATTTATTTATAAGAGAATGGCTTATTTAATAAACAAAAGTTAGGTAGTTGTGGAAGACTAATCTTTTCCAGCCTTTTTCTACTTGTATTATGTACTAGGCACAGTGAGGTGTGTTTTAAGTTTCAAACCAAGCTGGAATAAATAATGAATAACAATATTAAGATCCAGAGCTTACAGTCTTAAAAAATTTGCTGTCAGTTTCTTTGTTGTGGGTTACTTTGACAAGTTGAATGACACAAATTCCCTTCTGTCTCATGGATAGATAGATTGTGGATACAGTGTATGTGGTAGCACTAGCAGTCTAGACTATTTAATCTGGTATTAGAACCATTTTTTTCCCCTTCTCTAGATAAAGGATTTGTTGACCTCACATAGTGATTTTTAAATTAAATTTTTAAAATATTTTTTATTATCTGTGTTGTAGAGAATTTTCAAATAGAGGTACAAGTTGAAAAATACAATAAAAGAATACACATGAAATACTAGTAATGGTTACTTAAAGAGTGTGTTTGAAAAGACAAGTAATATAGATTTTATAATTTTTTTTTAATGCTCTCAAAATAGAAAATTACATTATTAGGCTTTTGATGCATTTCTTTCTAATCATTATTCTCCTAATAACTTTCTCATATTCCTAACACATTTGAAGTTACAATAAAAATAGAGCTGTGTATTCTGAATTCTAATAAAAATAGAGCTCTATATTCTGTGTATTCTATTTTCCCTTAACAGTATGTCCTAGCATTTTTCTCTGTCATTAAGTTGGCTTCTAAAAATAATTTTTTAATAATTGCATGATATCTCGTCCTGCATATACATAATTTATTTACCCATTAGCCCATTTCTGATTATTTTTCACTGTCGTATATGACACATTGATGAACAATTTTGTATATAAATTTCTAAATGTACCTCTTAAACCTCTGAGAAAGGATTTTTGGTCTAGGCTTCAAATATTTTTAATGCTCTTGATAAGTACTGCTAAATTGTTTTGCAGATAGGTGATACCAATATATAATACCATTGTAAATTATTGTCCCAAGGTATGTGAAAATAAAATTATATTCAGATGACATTGTCTTCCTTAGGATTAATAACAGTCATCTGAAACCTTAGAAATAGTAAGAGTTGAGCATGATGGTAGTATTAGACCACAAGACTAATAATATTAATAATTTTCTTTTATTTACTTATGATCAATCGGAGTATATATTAGAAAGAACAAAATTTCATTCACAATAGCAACTAAAATTAAATGTCCAGTAATAAAATTAATGATGTGTAACTTTTTTTATTAATGTACTTAAACAACCTAATCTGAGGCATATATTATATTCTTGATTGCTTATTTGATATTAACCTTAAAAAAGGTAAATAAATATAAATTATAATTAACTTTCATAAATAATATGTTACTAATATATTGTGTTATATAACACATGTAGATCCTTAAATTTAATGCAGTTTTAGTCAAAATCTCAGTGACTTTAAAATAAATTTGACCAATTTATTCTAAAGTTTATTTAGAAAAATATTTGAGAAGAGCAACAGTTATTTAAAAGAAGAATAAGTGGAGAAAGAGAAGAATGATTTGTCTTGCCACGTAATAAAACACACTGTGAAGAAAATAGTGATCGAATGTGAAAACACTAGAAATAGACTAGAAAGTAAGATAATAAAAAGACTAGAGAGTCCAGGTATATTCAAATTCTATCCAACCTGTACAATCGATATAAACATGTTTATAATGCCTTTCAAATGCCTGAGTTATGATATTTGTACATTGGCTGACAAATTAATATTTTGAATTACTGCTTGGTGGCTAGTGGTTCATTTTCGACATTACATTTTTGTACAGCAATGTTTGTACAATTATTTGACCTGAGATATACACTTCTAATTACATTCAGTGTTTTCAAAATACACATTTATTCATTCTAACTATTTATCAGTGTGTGCTATGTTCTAGGCATAAGGCTACAGTGATGAACAAAACAGACAAAATCTCTGTACTCCTTGTAGTTTACATTTATTGGGCAAAGACTAATAATGAACAAGTAAAACCTAAAAACAAATTCTGTGTAAAGAAGTGTAATTGATGATGTGATAGAAAGTGACAGTGTGGATTGCAAGATCAGAGAAACTCCTTACTATGAAGCTAACATTTAACCAAGGACTGAATGAAGAGTCAATCGTGCCATGATCATAGAGATGGCTTTTCCAGATAAGGAAGAGGTGATGCTAAGATATTAATGTAGGCATGAATTCGACATGTTCAAAGAGTAGAAAGAAGGGCCACTACATCTGGAACTTGAAGAGCAAAGGGGGACAATGTTTTGAGGTGGGTTTGGTTAGGTCAACTAGGATCCAGATCATAAAAGGGTTTGTAAGATGATCTGTAGAGATTGAATTTTATATTGATAGACTCACTAGAAGCCTTCAGGGCATTTTAGGTAGAGAAGTGTTATTACCTGATAAATCTTTGAGTTTTTTTTTTTTTTAAGTGATTTTTTTTGTATATGATTTATAATTTGGTACAGTTAAACTAAGTCAATGACATTCAGTTAAGGCTAAGCATGTCCTACCATCCAAATAGAGATGTTTTGTAAAGGAAAATAAATAGTCCATGACCAAGTATTCAAAACTATCCCACCAAAATGGAGTAGTTGAGGAGGTGGAAAGGCAGCAGTAAAAGAAGTCTTAAGGCCTTTTTTGGGGAGGTAATTTAGGAGGGTGAGGGTGGGAAAGTAAATGGATTTTAAAGATCTCACCTTATTGGGATGCAGTAAAACATCTTGCTTGAGGAAATAGTTGGAATCTTGATAACATATTAATGAACAGAAATATGAAGTGAGAATAAGAGTCCAGTAAGGGAGGGTAGATGTTCATTTGTTAAGTTAACTTTGGAGGGCGGGAGGAGAGAGAATGAACAGCAGTTGTACAAACCAGTAAAAATAGTGGAAAAGCAGGAACAATAAAATAATAAACATACGAATATAAAGATAACAACCCATGAAGTAAGATGAAAAGAAAACATAAAGTCTGTTAGCTGTTGAATAATCGTGATCAGGTTGAATAAATTTAATAAAAGACAAACTACATTAAATCCAGCTACACTAAGTTTTCTACAAGAATCAGACATAAAATAACAATTTGTAAGTAAAGGGGTGTTTACAGTCACAAGAGATGCAAAGAAAGCAAGAGTAGAATTTTACAACAAATGAGATGGAATTAAGAATTAGAATCACTAATAAAATTTAAGATAAAGGAGCACATTTTATAATGGGCACAGTCTATAAATAACAGTATCGCAACTAAATGTTATATAACAATATACTCCCCTAAAATAAAATATGCAAGAAGTTCTTGGTTAGAGTACAACTGTGGGAGAGTTTAATACATGTATTTGAAAATTAGACTGATTTATAAGTTTAATAAGAGCTTGGAATAATGGATTTTAACTGTAAAACGAATACATTGATTTATTTTATAGAAATTTATGTCTTTTGAGATCAGAGCAATAGATTAATAAAAAGATCTGTCATTAAAACCAAGTCCCCCCCCACAAGAAAAAAAGCACCAGTGCCCTGATCCTGTTTTCTAATTCTACTCTATAATAAAAGGAACATGGAGAAATGGCTGATTCTAGGAATAGGATAAGGGAAAACAAAAAATGAGTGTGGAGCATCTTACAGTGTCAGAAAACCAAGCAAGTACTCAAAAAACAAAAGGACATTTGCTTCAACAGCATATATACAAAAATTGGAAAAATACAGAGATTTTCATAGCCCCTGTACAAGGGTGACATTCAGCTTAAGATTAGCAAAGCATTCAATAGTTTTCTAAATGTTATGTATATTTTTCCCAGAATACACAAAAACAAAAGAATGAGGTCACATCAAAGATATACAGGAGCCAACTGAAAGCTCCCAAGGGCCAAAACTGAAACGATGGGATTATAGCCTAAAGTATAAAATATACCCATGAGTGATACGGATATAAATGATTGAATAAATTTACTTATTGAATTAGCCTAAGAATTTACAAGCTGCAATAACATGAATTGGGGGAAATGGACAGCTGTTTATTACAGAATTCCAAATAATACGTGTAGATACTCCCTTCTTCAGGAATTGGAGCTTAACTTTCCTCACTCCTTTTGTGGGCTGGACTGACTGACTTGCTTCCAAATAGACTGTAGGAAGGGAAAAATAGTAACTTAAGGTTGGAGAAACCTGACACTCAACTTTAGCCAAACAATCCAGGTTAGCGTTGATATCATGTACCCCTTGATATGTGATAAGGGCACTTTTACCTCTGTAATTCTCTTACCCCAAACCCACAACCTCAGTGTAATTATGAGAAAAACATCAGAGACCTAAATTGAGGCTCAGTCTACAAAATACCTGATCAGTTCTTTTCCAAAGCGGTCAAGGTCATGAAAAACAACATAAAACTGAGAAACAAAGACGAAAATAAGGAAGTAGGATGACTAAATGCAGTGAGTCCTGGGTTGGATTCTGGAACAAAAAAAAATATTAGTGGAATAGCTAGTGAAATTTGATTAAAGTCTGGAGTTTAGTTTATTGTAGTATACCAATGTTGATTTCTTTTTTGACATGTGTGATGGTAATGAAGGTGTTAACATTAGGAGGAACTGAGTAAGATATAAGGAAGTTCTGAATTCTTCAGCTTTTCTGCAAATCTAAAATTATTCCAAAATAAGTTTATTTTAAACATTTTCAGGGCAGAGGCATTTCTAACCTTTAATGAGCAGAGCATTCTGATGTTATTTAAACAATACTACAAAGAAGAAATAAAAACTCTCCCACTTCATTTTATACAGCCTGTAAATGTTGAGTCCATGAAGTGAGGTTTTCTTTAAAACTATTACAACAAAACATAAACCCCCTCAGAAGCCCAAAAAACCTCCCAGCTTGTATATAATAAATAGATGATAGCGAAGCTTCTCGGCCTCTGCTTGGTTTGAGGTGGGAAAGAAATATCCATTGAGAAATTAAATCCTAGGCTTGAGCTTTATACCAGTTTGGAGTTTGAAATTTTAGTATCTGTAGAGTAATGAAACACAGAAACCAAGAAATTAACATAAAATTTGATTTTTGATCACCTAGCAAAAATTTTTTTAAAGCTAAATTTTAAAAAAACGATAGTTTATCACTAGAAAGTCTTTTTAATTCTTTTATCAAGCTAATACTTTTATCCTGAAATTCTTATATTTTTGTGTTAAACTTAAGATATGCTTTTATTTACTTAATTTATTCATTATAATAAATTTTTTAAAGCGGAACTTAAATTGCCCTGTTTGTATAGAGAAACATGTAGCAAATATCAGATTTGGAGTTGCCATAAGTCTGGCAGATATACATAATAGTTTATTAATTTTACAATACAATGCATGGTAAGGTCATGGGTGTTATTATATTCAGTGGGTTGATTGTTCCTCATTAGCAATACAGGGCTCGGTGCACTGGGTCAAATTGCAAAGAACACAGTGTGTTAATGTAGCATTTTCTTCAATCCTTGCACATCTATGACTTGTCTCAGATGATTTATATCAGTTACTACTGAATAAGTCTGTGATTATAGGATTCCCCAGAATACCTGTATTTCCAGGTTTTCGGCCACTCTAACTTCAACTAATTGTTTTCCTTGTTGATAACCCTTAGTATTTAAGAATATCTACTCTTTGAGTTGTCCATTGTTTTAAAAAATATATAATATGCAATTTTTGGAGTTTGCCATAATAATACTATCATACTTTGCTTCAGAATTATTGTCTCTGTTGCATTTTATAGTTGGTATCTTTATTTTCCCAAAGTAGAGTTATAAAATTTAGAAATTAAAGAATCAATTATGTGATTTAAAGATAAGACCATGTATTCCATACACTTTAGTGTGAAAGTATATGGAATATAAAAAGTATATTTTAAGCTAAATATAGTGTAGTTAGGAGCTGATAACCTTTTTTATAGCACTAGGACTACTATCTCTAAGGCATATTCTCATCTTCACAGCTCGTATCCTCACGAATATTAAAATTTTGGCAGGGTGGAAATTGCCCAGTTGTATCATGCTGCTTAATAATGATGAAAACACCATTACTTACCAATATTAATACAGTTTGCCAGGCTTCAGATTATGGCATTGCTCTTTAATAGTTGTGTGACCATGGGCAAATTAATTAACCTCATTGTGCCTCAGTTTCCTCATCTATAAAGTGCTAATAATATTATATGCTTTATAATGTTATTGTGAAGATTAAAGTAATTAATAGATACAAAGCATTTAGAACAGTACCTGGCACATGATGCTCGCTATTTGCTAACTGCTATTACAAATACACTACTATCATTACTCTTATTACACTTGTGCTGTTTTTATATTTTGTTTTCAATGTAGGTGCTTTGACTTTTACAATAGGATATTAAACTTTACAGGAAAATTCCTTTAGGGTTTTTGTTAAATGGGTTAATCAGTGATAGGCATTGATCACTAGTGTGAATGGATTTACAAATAATAGAATAACCTCTTATTTTTAATCTCTGGTTAAATAAAATGGGAATATTTTTAGAAGCATTTCTTTAGGGTGGGAAATTAGCTATTGTAGTTCCCTGGTCTATTGCATTTTCACATCTCTTTTAATGCTTTTTCCCCACATTTAGCTGTAGTATTTTTGCTTTTCCCAAAAGTTAGTGTATATTTGGACGTACATGGTATTTTAGGATCCTTATTTACTAAGGATTATGTTCAAAATCCTGAAAATCAATTGTATATGTAGTCCAATAATGTAATTAAATATATTGAAAAAGGATAATTATATTCCCATAATGTTCTAAATACTTGTTCTGTGATTGCTGACTTTGTATATAACATCTTTTATACTGAATTTGGAATTGTCCTGAAGGCCAGTATCTTATTCACGATATATTCATTTATTTATCAATTTGTTTTTAAACAACTAAAAACATTTACAATAGAATTGGGCAAATTGAGCATTATTAAGCTGAGATTTTTTTAATGCAAAAAATAGGTGACAATGAAGTGTTACAAGTTTTTTTAATGTGTTTTTTATAAACTGATTATGAAGGCAGTTCCAAAATAAAAATTCTAAAGTTTTGTGCATTTGGAGAGTAATATATAACTTTCCAAAGTGAGTACTTTGAAAGGATAGTAATTTGGCTTCATTTATTAAATATTTATTTGAAAGTCTGCCCTCTATGGACTTTGATAGATTGACAGTCTAAACAAAATATAGTCACTGACCTTATATATTTGTGTAATATGCCTTTATTATTTTATAGTTATCAGTTTTTATGTGACAAAGAAGCTGTACTTTGCTTTTACTAAAGGTATTTTAAGTATTTCCTCATTTTTTTCATTTTGAAAAATATTTTTTTTCTGTTAGAATAAAACTATATAAATTTCCTTTTCTAGGAAAGAGTATCCACCTCATGTCCAAAAATTTGAAAATAACCCTGTAAGGTTAAGTCGGCCCCAAACTGTTGGTAAGTGTGCAGTTTTATTATACTGTAAAGGATTTCAAGTAGTTGTATGAAAAGTAGAAATAGAGATGTGATACTGGCTTTAGAATACATAGAAAACCATTTTTATAACATTTGAGAACTTATTTAATTGTAAATGAAATCACGGAATTGTTTCATATTTAGGTGATTACAGTTTGAAATCTTTTTGGTTATATTAATATATTTGAATTTTTGTTAAATTCAAAATTTAAATATCAGCTCTTGATGGGTTATAGCTTCAAAATTGTTGAACTGTTATCATGTTTCATGTGATTGTCTTGACTTAAAGTTCTAGTTATTGTACATGTTGAAACATTTTCACTAAAGCATAATTTGATAATATAAATTAGTTTTTTTCATAGCAAAGACCATGAGGAATTTATAAAATTTAATTTCAGTACTTTCAGTTTTTTTCTTTCTTTTAGATCGTGTAATGAAGAAAACAGAAGAGCCTGAATCACACTCAGAGTCCGAAATTAAAAGGAAAGTATCACAGAAACGTCACAGTACATATCAGTCTTCTACTTCTCTGTCTCCTGCCTCAAAAAAATGTTTAACTGATTTAGAGGTAGGTAGAGAAATTATTCTTTGTTGTTAATCAGATGGTATTTTTATTAATATTATTTTTAGTACTTATTGAATTCTAGGTGACCTTTTTTCATAGGACTAGACAAGACGCAGAAAAGTGATTTTGGCAAATTTTTCTGCCTTCATTAGATCATTTTTTAACTACCCAAAATCTAGAATATATCTTTTTCTGTAAAGAATCTATCATTGCCTCCTTGCAACATGCTCCCTGTAATTGCTCTCAACCAGAAGTTTTTCAAAATATTTTTAATTTACAGAAAAGTTGAAAAAATAATAGGCTATTCATATATCCTTTTATCACCTTCCTCAGTTTTCCACATTTGCTTTATTGTTCTCCCTCCCTCTGCTGTCCTTCTACCTTCACCCTCTTTATATATGTATGTATGTTTTGCTCTGTACCATTTGTGTATAAATAACAGGATGCTAATTTACAACTTAATATTTTAGTGTGTGTTTCCTTTAAAGAAACAACAAAAAAGGTCATTCTTCAATATGACCAGAGTATAACTATCAAAATTTAAAAATTAGCATGGATCCAAAATTCCCATATAATCCACAAACTTCATTCAGATTTTACCTAATGTCCTTTATTACAGGATCCTATTTAAAATCATATGTTACATTTAATTGCCATGATTTTTAGTCGTCTTTAGTCTTTCCTAACTTTGATATTTGTGAGGAGTATAGGCTACTTACTTTGTACCTCAAGT